TAATTTACCCTGGTATTATTCAAACCAAACTGTAAATGATAACCAACTCTAAATAATCGATATCGATATTTTTAAGAATCGAATATTGTGCGTTCCTATTTTTTGTTTGGCATGCCTGGTGTATTAAGTCTGACAGCTGTCAAAAGGTATGTCTTAGATTTGGTTGACTATAAGTAACAAAAGAACTTTCACCATAAGATAAGTGGCTACTACAGTGCAAGAAACTACATGTTACATTGTCACTTCTGAGGGCTGAAATGGAACATTACACAGCTTACAATTATACTGGCTCCCAACACTCTTCAGAGCGGAACACAGATGTGCAAGCGCTGCTATTTTTCTTTTTTTTTATTTAACATAAAAAATTACACATTTAGTTAGTTTTACAGTCTGTCATACTACTCAGCAGTTTGTTGGCAGTAAAAATGCTCTCTTACTTTCTAACATGCAAAAATAAAGTAGAGAAAAAAAGAACTAGCTTAATACAATTATACTACCACTAATATGACAAACCAATAGTATTAAAATAACATTAATCAGTAATTTAAAGGGTAACAGCGTTTTCCATATATGCGTAAATTTTGCATGTACGCGTACACATATACATACATACATGCATACAATACACCTAATTATTACAGCTTACCTATGAAGTTGTACAATGAATCGTCATGATACATTTCATTTTTACTTTTTATTAGTATAAAGTTTTTTTAACTTATTTTTAAACTATTGTTTTGATTTATGCGTAAGGCATTATTGCGGCAAATTGTTATAAATTTTTGCTATTAAATGTTGGAACATTCTTTTACCATAATACGCATACGACGGCATATTTTATTTACAAAAAAGACTATTGCGCTGAGAATATACGGAAATTTAGGGAATGTCTTATGAATATATCTTGGTCTGATATATACTTACAGACTGATATAAATAACGCGTTTAATACATTTCATGAATTTCTATGTTTAATTTATAATTTATGTTTTCCACTTATTAGAATAATGATAAATAATAATAATACTACAAACAATTGGATAAGTCGAGGTTTAAAAAGAAGTTGTAAAACTAAAAGATTACTCCAATATAGATACTACAAGAATAAATCAGAATTAAATAAGAAAAGTTACATCACATATTCAAAGATTTTGAAAAAATGTATTCAAAGATCGAAAAGAAATTCTACTATAAAATTCATACACAAAAGCAAAAATAAATGTAAAGCTACATGGTCTGTGATAAAAAATGCAATCTCAAATTCAAACTTCGACCATGGCGTTACGGATTTAAAAATAAATAATGAACTGATTAAAAATCCTACTGACATAGCTTCGATTTTCAATAATTATTTTACTGATTTCCCTAATAATTTGACAATAATGAATAAACCAAACAGCTATACTAGTATTGAAAAATCACTACCTAACTCAATGTTTGTTAAGCCCATGACAGAAGAAGAGGTTAAAAAAAGAAATCCTATCTCTTAATAACACTAACTCGGAAGGATATGACGGTATTAATACGAAAATAATTAAGAAGTCTGTAAATGAATTAGTCTCTATTTTAACATATTTAATTAACTTATCATTTTCATGTGGTACTTTTCCAGAAACATTAAAATTGTCGATTGTAAAGCCATTATTTAAAAAGGGTAAGAGAAATGATATTACCAATTATCGTCCAATTACATTAATACCAATATTGTCAAAAATACTAGAAAAATGTATGTACAAAAGATTACTAGATTTTTGCAAGAAATTCAATTTAATAAAGAATGACCAATATGGCTTTCAGAAACAAAAATCTACAACATTAGCCACATTTAAGCTCATTAGTTCAATCTTAACAAAAATAAATAACAATTTTTTTAACCACAGCATTATTTCTTGATTTATCGAAAGCCTTCGATCTCGTTGCGCACAGCATACTATTACGAAAACTGGAAATGGTCGGTGTCAGAGGACTTCCACTAAAATGGATATCTTCCTATTTAGCTAACCGTAGACAATGTGTCGTAATAAAAAAGATTGTAGGAGAGGAAATGCGGTCCTTCTCATCTTCTTATAAAGAGAACAAACATGGCATTCCTCAAGGTAGCGTGCTGGGTCCAATGTTGTTTCTTCTTTATTTAAATGATATAACTCTAATCACCAGTCATAAATGTATTTTATTCGCGGACGATATTTCAATAATTGTAAGCACTAATAAGAAGCAAAACAATTCAATACGTAATCATGAAATCGACATTAACAACACAATTGATACAATTATTAAATGGCTAGACAAAAACAATTTAAAAATTAATCTTAATAAATCAACTTATATTCAATTTAATAAATCAAAACACACAAAATACAATTTTAATCTTAATATCGACAAATTAAACGAAGTAACACAAACTAAATTCCTAGGAGTAATAATCGATCAAGATTTAATGCACTTAATAAAGTAAAAAATGTTACAGACAAAAAAACTGCTGTTCTAACGTATCACGCTTACATAGAATCTTTACTACGTTATGGTGTTGTAATATGGGGCAATGGTACAGATAAACAGAGATTATTTACTGCGCAAAAGAAATGCATTAGAGCTATTGCTGGAATCGCACCGGATAAATCCTACAAACCAATATTTAGGAGCCTAGGTTTGTTGCCGCTACCATCTCTGTATATCTACGAAGTTTGTAATTTCGTACATAAACATAATAATCTGTTTACAAAGGCATGTGATATGAATATAAGACTAAAAAGAAATGCAAATAGACTTGTATTAGATGATGTACCGCGATCAAACAAATATAGTAAAAGCTGTTTAACCATGTGTATTCGAATCTATAATAAAATACCAAATGAAATCAAGTCGAATAATAATAATATATTTAAAAAAAATTATTGACTTATCTCAATGAAAATCAATTTTATGACATCAGAGAACTATTTGTTAAATGTAAATGATATATATTTTTTAATGAATTGTTTTGTATTATGATTAGAAAATTTCATTTGTGTATGTGCTATTTATGTAAATTTGCATGCTATCACAATCACATAGCAAACATGTTGTGCTTTAAGAATTGTATCATCCTTATCTGTCCATGTTTTATGCAAATAAATAAATAAATAATAATTAGCACATTTATATTGTAAAGTTATTACTTTATGCGGTCTGCGCGTATTCTTATTTATGGGGATACAACTACGCAATGCGTCACATAAGATTGTATAATACTTTTCACATGTCCCAAATGATATTTTAAATTGCTCATGTATCAGTATTAAATTACACTCCCGGAAGAGCTGCTCATAATAATCCCTAAATTTAATTTTACCATTTGGGTTTGCTAATATTTTCATAAATCTAATTTGAAACTGCTTTAATTTATCTAAATATGTTTTAAATGTCCTTCCATACGCTACTAATCCACATTGTAACGTTGACTCAACTAGTGCGTCATATACAACATATAGTACATTTTTGGTGTTACTTTATTCAATAAATAGAATTTACTTAAAATACCTCTTAATTTATTACATACCTGTTCTATATGGCTACTCCCGTTCATATTTCTATTTGATGTTAAGCCTAAGTATTTAAATTTTTTACAAATTCTATAAATGTGCATCACATTTAAACATATTGTCGTGTATACGTTGATAAGAGTGACCCACTATCCTGAATTTTTTTTGCATTCTTTATATTATGCGGTGATGACATATGTAGTCCTTTAGTTTTTGCTGTGTTAATAATAATTCCATTATCGTGAGACCATTTAGTTATGTTGTTAAAATCACTTTGCATGTTTTTCTCTATCTCATCTTGATTTTTGTCAGCATAAAGGACGCACATGTCATCCGCATACATAAAAACAGCACAGTGTTCAATTACGCATTTCAGCATAAATAAGTAAGAAGATGATATCGATCTAAACGGACTCCTAGGCAAAAAGGATTCGTAAAAACAAATTTCATCATCATCTTCTTCATCATCATCATCATTACAGCCCTTCACAAATCCACTGCTGATCATAGGCCTCCCCCAAGGAACGCCACAAAGCACGGTCCCGAGCCACCTACATCCATTGACTTCCGGCATATCTTATCAGGTCATTACTCCATCTAGTGGAGGACGCCCTACACTTTGCCTGCTGGTACGAGACCGTCACTCGAGAACCTTTCTTCCCCATCGGTGGGCACAGCTTACTAATCCGTTGAGCTATCCTATCTTACTCCTATCTACAGATGCATAGGTTTCGTACTCCTGTTCTGTACTCGGGTAGCCATCGTAGTCTTAATGTAAAACACTTCAGCACTTTGATATACCGAAAATCAACTTGGCATCGCTGAATGGAGTGCAGCACGGCGCAAACTTCGACGGAATCAAAGGCTTTCTCATAGTCTACATACGCAATGCAAAGTTGCAGATTGTACTCTTCGGTCTTCTGTATAATTTGCCAAAGGGTATTTTTGTGGTCTATAGTGCTAAAGCCTTATCTGTAACTGGCTTCTTCGGGAGGCTGGAAGTCACCGAGTCTGCGTGCGAGACAATTCGTAATGATTCTCAAAAACAGCACGTAGACGCGGCGCAGAAGGGCAATTGTAGTTCTTCAAGAGAGCGTTGTCGCCTTTCTTGAAGAATAAGACCACCGCACTTCTGCTCCACGCCTCCGGAGTAGTGCCACCAGGGTGGACGGAATTAAAGAGCTTTTGAAGGACTTTAATTATCGGTTGTCCACACGATTTCAAAAGTTCCGCTGTAGTTACAAAGAAGAAGAAGATAACTAAAAGAAACAAATTTAGAATTTAAAAATACTAGCCAGTTTAATTGGCACAGCCTAGTGTTATATAATAGTCTTAAGAGATGACACCACATCGGATCCTTCTATGTTTGAAGATAGCTGCTGGTGTTCATGGACTACGGCAGCCACTAACCATCAGATGGACTGTAAGTTCGTTCATTTCAGTTTTATAGAAAATACTAAACGGAGCATTATTTCTTAGATAACTGCATACACAAGAACGAGAGAGTTTCTGGCGATCGCTTGCGGCGTTCTGACCACCGACTGCTGGAGCGAGCGAAGCGCCGTACGCTGCGTATGACCCTCATCATAGTCACTGTGTTCGCTTTCTGCTGGCTGCCTTATGCCGTTATGACCATGTGGTAAATTTAAATAACATCTTTTTATGATTTTTTATGACGGCCCTGTGGCGCAGTGGCTTAGCAATGAGCTGCAGCGCTGGCATCCGCGGGTTCGGGTCAGGGTTTGTGGAGGTAACGTTTTTCCTAAACAAAATTAAAAACAAATCAGCCGTCACAGCTCATTTTTGAACATGTGTCTATTATAGCTGGGAGTGTTATTGTCGCAACTTTGCAATAACATTTCCAACTATAATATAGACACATGGATTTGCGATTCAGCATCAGACCAGAGATGCCGTGTTTTGTGAGTGGCCTGGTAATACCTTCAGCATTAATGAAATTGATAATTACTATTTGAAGTGCTCACTTACCACATGTATGGCGGTGAAGCAAAAATTATGAGGGAAACCTGAATGTCTGAGAAATTAAAAAAATATTTCTGAGACATGTGAAGTCCTCTAACATGTCTGGTGCAGCGCAGCGGACTAGTTGCTTCATAAACTTCTCAGAAAGAAGAGTAGAGAGGAGAAGAATAAGAGTTCTTAGAAGTTGGCTTTTAGGTTTTGTTAAAATTGATTGTGTTTTTACCCTTTGCAGTGGACTAAGAAACGTAACAATAACAACGTCATTCTAAATAAACACATTTAAAACTACACCCCTACTTGGCCACCCTTAGGGGTGGAGGTTTCTCTTTCACTCTCTCTCTCTTTCTCTCTCTATCTTTCTCTCTCTCTATCTCTCTCTCTCTCTCTACACATACATACAATATACAAAAAATACAGTAGGGTTGTAAAGTGTAAGCCTCTTACTTTGTTTTAGAGTAGGTTATAAATATCATTGGAGGGTAAAATTTGGTCTGGACAATATTTGTGGAGCCACACTTAAAACATTAACAATAATCATTACTTATATTTATGCAAATTCTACACATTGATTAAAACTACTTTTACGGATTTTATCGCGTTTAATTTTAAATGATTTTTTTTTAATTTATAATTAAACGCGATAAAATCCGTAAAAGTAGTTTAAAAAAAACATTAACAATGTTTTGTCTTTTTTTAATTCGTAAATTTATTATGTAAATAAAAATCTAAGGTACATGATAGACCGAAGTTCAGCATCACGCGTGTCGCCGCAACTTCAGGACATGTTGTTTGCGATGGCAGTCTCCAACTCCTGCATGAACGGCGTAGTTTACGGCTCCTACGCTCTACGCTCCAGTGAAACCGTTCAGGAGCTGTTGAAGAAAACATACTGTTGGGCAATTTCTTCTACAACGAACACAGGTTGTTTATTTACCTTATTTACATAGCTCTTTATATTTGATTTAAAATATGCTATAATTTATAGTGATAACTTAGTCAAAACACGTTACACTTTGAACCTTAATGAAATTCAAACTAAATGGCTAAATTAAAACATTCAATATTTAGTTTCTTTATTAACAGAAAATTAAATTTTTTTGATTTTAGCATGAAATTTTTAATATCTTGTATTTTATTGATAGTAAAACTAAATATTATTCAACAGAAGTTATTTCAAAATCGGTAACTGCAAGCAGACCCCATAAATATATTTTTCGCTTCAGGCAACACTGGACTGACTACACATAAAAACAAATTACGTAATGTCGGCGACCCTGAAATGAAATCGAACAAGGTAAGAACGTATAAATAAAAGTAATATGTATAATATTTACATTACTTTTATTTATAATAAGCGTAAGAGAATCCATCATATAATTTCATCATCCCACTAGTGTTTTATGAAGTAAGTATGAGAAATACCAAACTAACTGCCTCGTTAGTCTAGTGTTTGTAAACGCGGTTGCTGAACATGAAACCAGTTATTGGATTCTCTGACAAAAAATCTTCTGTAGCAGCTCGGTGTCAGTGAGTTGGCTGTGCTAGCAGGGCCTTCGTGCTTCAAAAAGCACGTAAAATTGTTGGTATTGCGCTTGTTCTCTCTCCGATTATGTCGGATAACCGTCCCATTGAACAAACAGATTGAGGAAATAGAGAGTGCACCTGTGCTTGCACATATACACTCGGTCACTATATTCCTATCCAGCGCAGATGGCTAAACTCCGCTAAGACTGGCAGCCGAGACCGAAATTCGGTCTGGAAGATATTAAGGAAAACACTTAAAAAAATCTCATGGCTTCTGTTACATAATGGTATAGCAATTTATTTTATAGGATAGGGTGACAAACGAGCACACAGTCCACCTGATCGTAAGTGGTTGCTGCGGCCAAAGGCATCCACGTTTATCCTCGATTACAAATCAAAATGCAGATGCGTTGTCACCTCTGAGAACTAATATGGAGTGCCTCGTTTCCAGTAAAAAGGGTCTCCGGTTCTCTACACTCACCATACAAAACACATCAGCGTTAAGCTGCTATTTCAAATTCTTTTATTTATAATCATCTTTCATATATACTTTATTAATTTCTTTTCAATGACGCATTTTGTGTGTCTACTAACAAAGCTCTTCTCCGATTTACAACCTCATCTGCACTCTGCATGTGAACAAATGAAAGTATTTTCTTGATTTCTTTGTCAGCCTGCAATAGTCCAAACAGTATTTGATAGGGGCCTCTTCCGTTGTAATAATGATTTGTCTTAATCGTCACGGTTTCCAGGCGGATTGACGATCACACTATCAAACATCTCGCAGCTGCGCGGCAGCCAGTCGCCAGTCTGAGTGCTTTACATCTTATGTTCCGTCTATCCATGGGGGATTATTAATATGGCAACATACTTATGGGGAGATTTTGCCATAGTAAGTGGGTTGGCAACGGCAGTTTATATTATTTTGAGTTGTTATCAGGAAGATGCTGCTGCTTATCTTCTGTTTCATCTTCTCTTTGTCGCCTCTTACGATACTTTTGAGACGATGTAGACTACCCCATGTAGTGGGTTTTATTCTACCGCTACTCTACGGTTACCAACTTCCGTAATCTTACGTTAACGAGACAGTTATTCTGCCATCGACCGGATGTCACAAGATTCCTTTTGCATATTCGCATTCCACCCATTATCGCCATTTACGCGGACTTACGCCGATTACGGCCGTCGCCGACCTGGGACGTACTACGATCGCAGTGCGGCGCGTGTCGAAAAACCTTTTTACATGTAGAAATGCATTTTATATTGGCCCTAGGTGTGACAACGTATTTGCATTTTAATTCTTAACCGAAGATAAGTTGGATCTTTTATCATCAGGGGGATTGTGAGCTCGTTTGTCATATTTACTTCTATAAACAATTATAAATCTGTTTCTATGCTTTGAACCTTCATCCCAAACGTACAAGGTAAAACTAGGCTACTATAATATTAATATTATGTTTTAGCTAATTTTTCTTTAAAACCTTCTTAAATATAATTTTTGACGATAGCAATTACTGCCAGATATGTACAGGTAACTTAGCTACAGAAAGTCAATAATGCCACACAGGAACATATGCACGCACGCACCAACACAAGCATGTTATGACGATCTTGATAAAATTATTTAATATATTTATACATATTTTGATTATGAATATCTGAATAGTAAATACTTCTTGAAATAGTATGTGCTTGGAAATATGAGCATTACATGACATACATACTAAATTAAATCGAATGTATTTTTATATTAATTGAAATAAAAATTATAATTAAATCCCAGGGAAAAACTTAGACGTTCGGGTTCCCGTTTTTTCTAAGAGCATGTTATTGAATTAGATTCTTAGTCGGATAATCGGCTATATTTTTATCATTTCCTGCTAATAAGCAAAAACGTTTCAATAAGTAAGTTTTCAACTACATTATTATTCTTTAAATAAAAATAAAATAAATATATGAAGACAGAATTTATGCACTAAAAAGACAACATACTTGATGATGATGAACAATAGTAATAGTTATTGTTGATCGCATTCCTGAGCAGAGCGTCAACCCGCGGACGCGCTTGGGCGTGCGTTTTGCGGAGACGCCGCTAGTGGAGGCGCAGAGGGCAAACGAGTCGCGTGCGGGGCACGCGCGCGCCTCACGGCCGCCGCCGCGCCTACGTTGCGCACCGCACGAGCGACAGCGCGCACTCCTCCAGTGCCGCGCGGCGAGTGAGCCGCTTGTCTAGACCCACACAAGTCGGGTGCGGGCCGCGCGCGCGCCTCACGGCCGCCGCCGCGCCTGCGCTGCGCACCGCACGAGCGGCAACGCGTGCTCCTCCAGTGCCGCGCGGCAAGCGAACGGCTTGTCTAGACTGTAGCGGTGCCGTCGTCGCCGCCACAAGCGAAAACACACCGAAGCCTAAATCACGCTATCAACATTCCGAATCATAAACAGTATATATAGAACATCTCCGAACTATCACATGGAGTGTTGGTCGCTCCCCGGGCAGAACACCTTGCCCGGCGGGAGATCTCCCCTTTTACTTCCACGGCCACAAGACCTACACGTGTTCCACCATCAGTGTATATGGATAGTGTGGTTTTACTTATTTTATAGAATAAATGTAGAGAGAAGCACATAAGCTTACCATGCGGTGGACTGTGGGTTAGTTCGTCTTTCTAAAAGAAAATTAATGTCATTGTCAGTGTATTTTTCTAATTCTTATAATCTGTGTGAAAAATGAACTGATGTGGAAATGAGGACGCTGGAGTGTTGATGTATCGTTTTTCAGACTATTTTGTTAATAAATGGTTGTAAAAGATAAGTTTTAAGATTTTGATTTTTGATACTCCTAAATAATATATATGAACTACGAAAACTGAACTCAGTTTATACTAGATGACTATTTTTATCGTTTGAAAAAAAATAGGATGTAACATGTGAACGGAGTAAAATATATATTGAGTATATCACAAACTCAAGGTTTTTGTGTTAGGAAGAGTTTACATTAAATTCATTCCACATAATTTTTCTCCAAATTTATTGGGACTACTCCTAAATATAATATATAAATAACCTATTTATAATAATAAAAAAATACGTGTGGCACTCGTGGACTGCCGCGGTAAAGCTATTGCATAATATTTTTGTCAACTTATGCAATTATAATTATTTATTTATGTAGTATTTTTTATTTGTTTTTTTCTTTGATATTAATTCAAGTTACAGCAGCTATTCTATTCTACACGCATACGTCTAGTCACACGCACACAAACACCGAGCCGAAGTCTGCCGAACTGAAGCGACGTTACGGCGCCTCTACACGTTGGCCAACACAGTGGCGAATGTAGTGGCCAATAGCATTGGCGAACATGTAGACGGGGTGTTTGGGCTTCATTGGTATGTATTGGAACGATGGCCCACAAGTTGGCGCGAGATCCATGTGGTGTCGGTTTTTTACAAAAGATCAAAGGATTGTTGGCAGAGTTTGGTCGCCACGTCCACACGTTGGGCGCGAGTTTAGTTTGCTATAAGCTCCCAGAGTGATTACACGCATCTGATTAAAATTTTATATTCACGCTTTGTAGGATGGATGGCCCAATTACCAGCCTTTTAGTGCCAATTTCAACTTTAAACATTCCTACTACTTTAATTAGCACGATTCAATTATTTTTAAACATTTGTTTTAATCGATAAGCTATTTATAAAAAAAATGAACATTTATTTACAATCAGATTATTACGAGAACAATTTTAAAATGAAAAAAAAAATGAAACACGTCGTTTATACGTGGTAGAACCATGCAGTTATATTAGAAGTATAGTTGTAGCACGAATGGGTCGGTTCGACCGGGGAAGGACCACGCTCTCACAGAATATCAATGTAAAATAGTAGCTTAATGATTGTGTGTTTCGTATAGTGAGTGTAGAGAACCAGAGACACTTTTTAAATGAAACGAGGCATTTCATCTTAGTCCTCACGGGTGACAACGCATATGCATGTTGATTCGTAATCGAGGATAGATGTAGATGTCTGTGGGCCACAGCAACCACTTACCATCAGGTGAACTGTGTGCTCGTTTGTCACCCTATCCTATATAAAAAAGCGTCGATTTCTTATAATTTAATCGTGCAAGTTTTCGAATCATCATCATCATTACAGCTCTTCACAAGTCCACTACTGAACATCTTCCTCCAAAGCAAGCCGCAAAGCATGGTCCTGAGCCACTTTCCTTGTCATGAGTTTTTCATTTATGTTCTAAGTTATAATTAGTACCTATTATTAAGTCAGTGTTAATTATATTTATTGCTATTGTTTTCAAAAAATAATTAAATTACCAATAAATTATAAGGTGTTTTTATATACATGTTTTTTATATACAAATTTCTGATAGAAAAGCAAGTACATGTTTTGCTAAACTTTAAAAACAAAACCCAATTTTAAAACATAGACTTCGATTCTAACTCCTTTAACTTTAAAATAAGTTTAGTTCTAATTAATGGTATTTATTCCAGTTTCTGATGCATGTAAAGAATAAATAAAGCTAATCGTATAACTATTTACAGCCCATTAATATTCACTATTCTCTTATAATTATTTTATAAAAACGTTACCCCCCACACTTGGATTTTCTCCTGTATCGCGGAGGCAACTTACAAACATAAATTGCATAAGGACACACATCCAGACCCGAAACAATTATTTGTAGGATATACAAATACTTGTACTGTGCGGGATTCAAACCCGCGACTCCTGGCACAGTCACTCATTGCCAAGCCACTGCGCCACGGAGCCGTCGTCTAAAATAAAATAAATTCGTCCGCACATAAACGACGTTAGACAATGCACGGCCTTCAAGCCACACCTCCGTGCCCGTCGGAGTGGGGAGCGTGAGGTTTTTTTTCGTTACGGAATTTCTGGATTCGGTCCCCGCGCTCAAGGCCCGCGATAGAAGCTATGCAATAGCTTAAAAAACAATCATTAAAATCATTTCGTTTAGCGCGTAAAATAAATAAAAATAGTCAAATAAATGATCACTGCCGGATGCTGATCCGCTTTCGCATGAATACTTGCACCGTTTGTTTAATACTGCTTACTGCTTAATCTCTCCGCTCCATTTTACTTGAGAGAACGCTTTGAATTCATCTCATACTATCGCGATCATCTAAGTTCCAGTAATAATTTTTCGCTTCGTACAACGGAACATTCAATCTTCCTACTGCAATAAACAGTTGTACGTTTGCACTATTCCTTTTCCTTTTCCTTTAAAAATCTACTCTAAGCTTATTACTTGGAACTCTAATACTACGGTTTCTTTACTCATGTGCTAATACTTCTCGTCTTTTCTTGTATTTATTATACTTATCCTCAACTGTCATCGTGTGTTTTATTTTAATTTAATTTTTATACGTACAATAAGAGTAGAATATAATTTTTTTATATGATAGGGTGACAAACGAGCACACAGTCCACCTGATGGTAAGTGGTTGCTGTGGCCCATAGACGTCTACATCTATCCTCGATTACGATACGAATCAAAATGCAGATGCGTTGTCACCCGTTAGAAATACGAGTAAGATGGAATGCCTCGTTTCCAGTAAAAAGGGTCTCCGGTTCTCTATACTCACCATACGAAACACAGCAGCATTAAGCTACTATTTGACGCTTGTATTCTGTGAGAGCATGGTCCTTCGCCGGTTGAGCCTACCTATTTGTGCTACAACTATACTACTAATATACTATGTAATATATTGACGGTTCCGTGGCGCAGTGGCTTAGCAATGAGTTACAGCGCTAAGGGCCGCGGGTTCGAATCCCGCAGGGAACAATTATTTGTATTCTTGTAGGCCATACAGGTATTTGTATGACCTACAAGTAATTGTTCCGGGTCTGGATGTTTTTCCTTGTGAAATTTATGTATGTAAACTGCCCCCACGATACAAGAGAAAATCAAAACCAAAATAGCCGATTTTTTTAAAATCAGCCATAATGCCCCATGAAAAATCACATAAGCCATTATGTTATGGGATTGACTGAAATAAACTAATCTAGCTTTCAGGAAACTAGTGAAAGTTCTGATATTTTTCACAGTGTAAGATTAGTCCGCTTGATAGGTTAGTTGTATGGAGGCCCCACTGAAGCTTTGTATTGAGAGTGATCCTAAGAAAAGGCAGTGGATTCAACAGGGCTCAGTTCTTCTCTATTGAAAAACACATTAGTAGTTAGATTTTTAGCATTTGATGTAGTTAACTTAATACATTTAGTTTTGTTGCCGTTTAAATGTAGATTATTATCGTAAGTTACATTGAGTTTAAATTAAATAAATTAATGCACTAATTTTGATATAGCATTATTCACTTCATTACTTTTAAATGATTGACGTTTAAGTTTTAAATTCAAGGAAATATCATCAGCAAATAATATTATATATTACGATTATACAAGGGAAGGTAAGTCATTAATATGGACTAAAATAGGATTGAGATTTCGAGTATTGAGCCTTGAGGAACACCTATTAGTACAGGTGACCCGGAAAAACTTTTAACATTGATAATAACTTTCTGCTTTCTATTACTTAAATATGAAATAATAAGTTTAAGCGCTGTGTTCTTGACTCCACAGCACTGTAGCTTCCTGATTAATATGTCATGGTGAACATAGTCGAAGACCTTGAAAAGATTTCCCTGTATTCTCAATGAACAAAAAATAGGTTTAATAAGCTCATCTATGGCGTCAGTTGTCGAGCAAAACTTTGTAAAACCAAATTGATTTATATGAAGAAATTTATTTATATTAAAAAAACTTTAATCTGGCCTAAATTTTTTTTTAATTTTTTACTTAATGTTGGTAGTACCTACAGAAATTGATCTAAAATTGACGGTCTAATGCGTAGTGCGTGGTTTAATAAGCTCATCTATGGCGTCAGTTGTCGAGCAAAACTTTGTAAAACCAAATTTATTTATATTAATAAATTTATTTATATTAAAAAAAAAAACTATAATTTGACCTAAATTTTTTTTTAATTTTTTACTTAATGTTGGTAGTACAGAAATTGATCTAAAATTGACGGTCTAATGCACTACCGGTTTTGTATAATTTATGTATACCTTACTATGTAAAAAGATTGTCTCAAAGAAATCGCTTCCAGAGCGATAAGACCCTCTAAGTGTATCTTTATAATTTATTTAACTTTGTTTTTGTTTTGATGTGTATTAGTGTACAATAAGGAATCTATTAATAGACTGC